ATGAATGTTTTTTTTTTGTTGTTGTTTTAAGGATAAAGGAGACATGGGTGTGTTGGCAGGCAACAAAGAAGGAACCAGTACCTGTGGAGAGATTGATGATTAGAATAGGGATGACGGTATCCCCAGGGGGCAATCTGCTGGAGAAGATAGGAAGGGAAAAGATCTGGGGGGGCATGTAAAAGGGCTGCCTCTCATAAGGAGAAGAGGAACTTCTGCATGTGAGACGGGGTGAAGGAGATAGTAGCAGGAGGCATATAGTCTGTTAAATGGGTAGCCTCTGCCAGGTGGCAGGGGGCGTGGGAGGTGTGGCTCAAGTGAGCGCCTGTGTGCACATGGGCAGTCTCTACTCCTTGCAGGGCTCATGTGATCTCTGTCCAGTGTTGGTGCCAAACACGACTGAGGTTGCGAAGCATCTCAAATCCCTGTTTCTGCCTTCAGCTGGAGTTCTTGGCTCATAGGAAGAGTGGATTCTGCTAGGACTCAACTGGGTCAAAGCACAGAGTGGCTCTTTTCCAAAGCCTGACACATCACAACGTTGGGGGTTGAGCTGCTCCTGCTCCCCACCATTACGGGTCTCTATTATTAGGAAGAGTCCATGAGATAACTTAGAGGGATTGAGGCTCACTCTGTCACCAGGACCAGAGCTGAGTCTGGAACTAGGAGCAAGGCTCAGTCTGGGGCAGGTTGGGCGCTGAGTTAGAAGTCAGGATCAGGACTGGAGTGAAGAAGGTAGAGAGACCAGGGTTCATTCCATGGCTAGAATTGCAGCTGGGTCTGAAACCAAAGATGGGGGTCCGCTGACTAAATCAACCAAATCACCTCATTTAAGGTGTCAAAATGCCAAAATCTGATAACTTATTAGGTGAGAACACATCTTTGTGAACGAAACTGGAAGTGTGAGCCGTGGCCAACACCTCTATTCAAATAGCCAATCAAGACTTTAGACTCGATGCAAAAAGTCCTTGGAAGTCATTGGGTGAACTGCAGTGACAATGAAAGGAAGCCTGTTCTGATTGGTTTGGGGACAGTTACGTCACCGGGCTTATATGAAACCTAGGGGGAGAGGGGAGGGGGAGAGAGGAAGAGAGAAGTGAGGGAGAGGGGAGAGGGGGAGAAGGGGAGGGATTCCAAGCATCCATTTGCTTAGTGGTGGGAATTCTTCTAGGCAGGTACCTGAGAAGGAATCACTTGGGGAGGAGGAAACAAGTGAGCCTCAGACTCCTTCCTCCCCCATTGTCTGAAGGAGGAGGAGGACCTTGCAAGCTTCAAAGGGTCTTCAGAGTTTTTGACTTCTCAAATTCTTTTTTTTTTTTTTTTTTAGTCAATTGGGGTTAAGTGACTTGCCCAGGGTCACACAGCTAGTAAGTGTCAAGTGTTTGGTCTGAGGCCAGATTGAACTCAGATCCTCCTGACTTCAGGCCGGTGCTCTATCCACTGCGCCACCTAGCTGCCCCTGACTTCTCAAATTCTGATCAGCATCATCTCTAAACTAATTACTAGTAACTAATTATCTGGGTGACTAATTCATCTAAACTTGTAATCAGGGTGGGAAGCTCAGGCTTGTGAGCTACAGCATTAGACAAGCCCCCTCCCCACCTCCCCCACCCCCATCCCATCCTTAGGGGACAAGTAGCCAAGCTCAGGGGTCCTGACCTGCCAGGTGAGGGGGATAGGCAGGGGCAGCCCAGAACCAGGACCCAGGGGCTCCGGGTCACACTAAGAGCAGGTCTGATTCTGGAGCAGGCTCAGCACTCACTCTGTGGCCAGTCTTAGGGGCTCAGGCTTTAGCTAGGTCCAGGCCATCCTTCACACAGCTGGAAGTGATTTTCCTGAAGTTCAGGGTCTAACAATGTTTCACCCACTCAGTAAACTCCAGGGGCTCCCTATCACCTCCAGGTTCGAATGTAAGATCCTCTGGCCTTCCAAGCCCTTCACATCCTGGCCCCTCCATGCCTTTCTGGTCTTTTTACAATTCATGTCCCTCTAGATCCTTGGCCTTTCTGCTGTTCCTTGCAACTGACCCTCCGTTTCCACACTCCATGGCTTTGCCCTGGCTGTGCCCCACCCCTGTCATGCTCTCCCTCCTTGCCTCCATCTTCCAGCTCCCCAGGATTCCTTCAGGACTCCACTCAGACCCCAACTTCGACACTTGCTCATTGCCTCCCCCTCTGAAATTATCTTCCCTTTACCCCGCGTAGACCTTGTATGTGCAGAATTATTTACAGCTCATCTCCCCGACTCGAATGTAAGCTCCTTGAGGGCAGACCTTGTGTTTGCCTTCCTCCCGCACCGTGCCTGGCACACAGGATGCATCTAACCGATGTTTACTGATGACTGACTGGTATGAGTGTCCAATGTGTACTGGCTGGTCTCTTAGCTCCCTCTGGTGGGTGTTGGCTCAGCTTGGAGTGGGCGGGGCCTTAGTCATCTGGGCTCCTCTGCGGTCGTTGGATTGACAGCTGGAAGGGAGGTCCCTGAAGATCCACCCCAAGCCCCTCGTCTTACACCAAGGGAAACAGAAGCCTCCCGGGCAAGTGACTTGCTGAAGGTCACACAGACAGTGGAAAGAATATTTGATTACACTCTCTTCATTGTGGAGTCTCACGACCTCCTGGAGGGCAGGTTCTCAGTCATTATTCCCATTTTACAGATAAGGAAACTGAGCATTAGAAAGATAGCCTGGCTTGTGCAGGGTCACACATGGAGTCAGAATTTGAACTCAGGGCCACTGGACTCTAAGCCCAGCGCTCCATCCATTATCCATGACACTTTCTGAGTAGTAACAGCACCACATTGGAATCTAGGGCCTTTCATTCTAAATACAGAGCTGTTTCCATTTAACTTTTTAAAGCCTTAGTTTCTTCATCAGTAGAATGGGCATAATGATGTCTTATAGGACCTTTGTCCTGGTTGTCATGAGGTTCAGAGGAGATAATGTCTGCCCAACCCTTGCCACAGCTTAGAATTGTGTGTGCCTCTGTTTCCCCACTAGTCCAGTCGGTCTGTACTTAGGGGCCTGGGCAGGCTATGGGACCCCAGTGCAGTTTCTGAGCAGATGTCAAAACCACAACTGCAGATCAGCAGCCCTCAGAGAAAAGGGAATCGTGTCAAGTCGACAGTTCAGCCTCTTCTTTCCCTTAGCAGGTAGCAGGCAACTCTGGGCTGGTCAATCTTTTTTTTTTTTAATTCAATTTTATTTTATTTTTAGTTCTGAATCCTCTCCCTCCCACCTCCTCTTTCCTTCCCCTCCCCCTTGAGAAAGCAAGAAAAACAAAATCAGTTACAGATATGTAAAGTTGAGCGAAACAAATTAGCCATGTCCGTTCCCCTCCCCCTCCCCCCTCCCCGCCAAAAGGCTTCAGTCCACACTCTGAGTCATTCACCTTGCCACCAAAGGTTCTAACATGACTCCTCTGGAATCACGGTTGGTCATAGTCTTTCAAAGTTGTTGTTTTTTTTAATTAATTTATTTTGATTTATCAACAATCACTTCCATAAGCTTTTGAGTTTTAAATTTTTCTCCCCACCCCCTTACCTCCCTCCCCAATCCGATATAGGCTTCACACATACATTCCTATTAAACATACTTTCACATTAGTCATGTTGTGAAGAAGAATAAGTACCAATACAAGGAACCACCAGAAAGAGGAAACAAAACAAAACAGAAGAAAAAAAATAGCAAATAGTCTGCTTTGATCTGCATTCAACCTCCATAGTTCTTTCTCTGGATGTGGATAGCATTTTCCATCATGAGTCTTTTGGAATTGTCTTAGATCCTTGCATTGCTGAGAAGGGCTGAGTCTATCAAAGTTAGTCATCGCACAACATGGCTATTACTGTGTACAACTTTCTCCTGGTTCGGCTCATTCACTCAGCATCAGTGGAATGGGTTAGGTATGCAAGACACAGTAGTCAATGACTATAGTAATCTACTATTTGATAAACCCAAAGACCCCAGCTTCTGGGATAAGAACTCACTATTTGACAAAACCTGCTGGGAAAACTGAAAAAGAGTATGGCAAAAACTAGGCATAGATCAAAATCTCACACCATATACCAAAATAAAGTCAAAATGGATTCATGATTTAGATATAAAGCTGATACTATAAGCAAACTGGGAGAGCAAGGAATAGTTTACCTGTCAGATTGATGGAGAACAGAAGAATTCATGACCAAACAGGAGACAGAGAACATTATGAAATGCAAAATGGATAATTTTGATTACATTAAATTGAAAAGTTTTTGCACAAACACAGCTAATGCAACCAAGATTAGGAGGGAAGCAGAAAACTGGGAAAGAATTTTTACAACCAGTCTCTGATAAGGGCTCATTTCTAAAATATATAAAGAATTAAGTCAAATTTATAAAAATATAAGTCATTCCCCAATTGATAAATTGTCAAAGGACATGAACAGGCGGTTTTCAGATGAAGAAATTAAAGCCATCTATAGTCATATGAAAATGCTCTAAATCACTATTGATTAGAGAAATGCAAATCAAAACAACTCTGAAGTACCACATCACACCTATCAGATTGGCTAACAGGATAAAACAGGAAAATGATGAATGTTTGGAGAAGATGTGGGAAAATTGGAACACTAATGCATTGCTGGTGGAGTTGTGAAAAGATCCAACCATTTTGGAGAGCAATTTGGAACTATGCCCAAAGGGCTATAAAAATGTGCATACCCTTTGACCCAGCAATAGCACTTCTAGGGCTGTATCCCAAAGAGATCCCAATGGGAAAAGGACCCACATGTACAAAAATATTTACAGCAGCTCTTTCTGTGGTGGCAAAGAATTGGAAATCGAGAGGATGCCCATCAATTGGGGAATGGCTGACAAGTCGTGGTATATGAATGTGATGGAATACTACTGTGCTATAAGAAATGATGAGCAGGCAGTGGACTTCAGGAAAACCTCAAAGTTGTTCGTTGTTACAATGTTGCTGCTATTGTCTACATTGTTCTCCTGGTTCTGCTTACCTCACTCTGCATCAGTTTGGATAAGTCTTCACAGGTTTTCCTATAAATATTTTCGTATGGATAGATCCTTTTCCTCTTTCTCTGATCTTTTTGGGGTCTAGGCAGAGTAGAGCCGGGTCAAAGGGTATGTTTAATAACTTCTAATCACTTTCGGGGCATTGTTCCAAGTTGCTTTCCACAATGGCTGAGCCAGTTGACAGTCCTCCCAAGGTCAGTGTGAGTTTTCCCACATGGGGTGTTCACCCTCAATCTGGCCCCTGAGTAATCATGGGGCTGATGCCTCTGGGGCCTCTAAAGGTGGAATGGAGAATGTGCATTTCTTCATCTTGTAGAAGGCCACTCCTTTCTCATAGTAGGCAGCCTCATTGATGAAGGCTGGGTAGATGGTGGCATCACCCTCGTAGAAGATCTCTTCCCCACTGAAGAGCTGAAAAATGGGGTCTCCTGGCTTCAGAGGAAAGAAATCTTTGTCCTGAGCAAAGGAGATGAATGTTAGTGGAGACCCCAGTGCTCGGGCTGGAGAAGAGGAGCAGGCTCTAGAGCAGAGGGGATTGGAAGCCATTCTCCAGTGGTCAAGGAGGCAGTGAAGCCCAGTAGAAAGAGCAGTAAGGAAGGTTGGTGTTAGAAAAATCTGAAACAAAAATCTACTACAGTGAGTGAGTGAAGGAAAGCCTTTATTACACTTCTCTTGAGAGAAGCGGACTTATTAAGCAAGAGAGGTGGAAAAAAGCCTTTGACCTGTCCAGACTCCGTCCTTGACCCCAATGGGTTGCAACCAGTTTAGCCTCCAGGGCTCTTTCTTAAGGAACTAGTTGTTTACAGATCGGTTGAGGGACTATTCCCAAGGTCTTGGAATTCCTCAGAAGCCTCTTGTTCTATTGTGGAAGCCTAACTTATAATCCTTTCTTACAGTTGGGAATCAGGGGACCCCACGGAGGCCTTAACTCACTGTGTGAGCTTTGAGAAGGCCCCTAACCCTCTTTCAATCTTGGTTCTCTTTTCTGTAAAGGAACAGGGACTGAACCTGTGATTTCACTGACATAGAGAATTCCCTGATGGGAAACCCGGCCCCCCTCCCCATACAAGTCAGCACCTTCTGTGAACCTTATGGTCTTAGAGAGTTACCAGGGAAGGGGTTAAGTGACTTGCCCAGGGTCATACCAGTGGGAGGACTTGTTCTCCTTTCTCCCTGGCTCTGAAACCAGCTCTCTGCCCACTGCACCACTCTTCCTTTCCGTAAAACTCATATTGCTGGCCTGGGGGTGGGGGTGGGGTGATTATGAGGACTGATTGAGTGTGTTTGGCAAGGTGTCCTGGTGACGGGAAACCATAAGGCCCTATGCTAACATGTTTTAATTACCAGGGTTTTGTTTTTTTTTTTTTGCATGAACTTTAATTAGTATGTTTAATATAATTTAATATAATTATAAAATATGTAATTTAATATAATTCTTTCTGGACTAGAAAGGGTCCTTCCAATACCCTACCATGCTATGGAAGTGACCCTGGGGCTTAAAGGAAGGTGGGGCCCTTCCCTCCCTCCCCCACAAAGTCTTCAAGGATGTGCCAGTGAGAAGCTGCCTGGCCCAGGGGCAGCTTGGCTAAAAGCCAGAGGGATCTGTCACCACACTGGCCCAAGGGTGATGAATTATAGTTACATATTATTCCTAATGATTTCAACTGTTTTACTGGATATGTATATGTGTCTGTAGCACTCGTGTGTTTGTGTGTGTATATGTGTGTACATCTACATATACTTTATTTCTATTAAAAAAAAAAAAGCTCAAGCCCTAAACCGACCATGTTGCCTTCTACTCAAAAGTCTTCATTGATTTCTTTTTGCCTCAAAGATAAAATATAAAATCCTCAGCTTGGCATTTAAGACCTTTTCTGATCTGCCTCCTACCTGCTTGTATGACCCTGGAAAAAGTGACTTGGGTCTCAGTTTCCTCATCTGACAACTGAGGAGCTTGGACCACATGGCCTTGGAAGTCTTCTTCCTGTGATCCCATGATGCTATTGATACCCTTCAATCGACCACTCAACAAGCATTTTGTTGAGTACCTACTATGTGCCAGGGCCGCGGTTAGGCACTGGGTAGAACAGATCCCAGTTCTCAAGGAGTTTATGTTCAATCGGGGGACTCCTATAACTACGCGTTGTCTCCCTGATAGGACATCCATTCTTGGACAGCTTTGCATCCTCACTGCCTAGCAAAGTGCCTGGCACATAGTAGGGGCTTAATGAATGCATTGCCCCTCAACTACTTTCCAAAGGAAACTGGGGCAATCCAGGGGGCTCTGGCCAGGTGGGGCTAGGGTTGGTTTCAGTTACTCTGGATGCCCGAGCAAACTGGCATCAGAAGCAAGACGTAGGATGCCTGGGATTAATTAGTTGGTTGAGTTCATTTAATTATATCAGGGGGACTGATGCATAAAAGCAGGTCCCCTAAAGACCTGTACTGGCCAACTCCGGGGAAAAGAGTCACTTCCCTGCAGCTACTTAATAAAGGTATTCCAGGACACCAGCTCTTCACTCAGTCAAATTAGTGTGCTCTGCCCCTCCTCCCCACCCCGCTCCCCATGTGCAGATGATTATTTCACTCCATTTGTTTACATGGATAAATTTTCTGCATTTTTCATAAATGGGCTATGGTTGTTGAGGGTGGGGTGGGGAACAGGAGATTAGGGAGGGTGGAAGTGACCCTTGACCTTGCTTGAACTGCCTTCACCAGAAGTTTTTCCAATTCCCGCCTTGTCTCAGTTAAGCTCAAGGGAAGGAGTAGCAGCTAGCTGGTGCAGCCTGCTTGTGGTAGAGTCAGAAAAACTTTAAGTCAAATCCAACCGCAGACATCTACCATCTGTGCGACCCCTAGGCAAGTCACTTAGCCTCAGTTTCCTCATCAATAAAATAGGGAGAATAATAGCACCCCGCAAGGTCTGAGAAAATGAGAAAATTTTTGTAAAGTGCTTTGCAAACCTTAAAAGGTTCTATAAATGCACACTATTATTATTCTTATTAAAATAGGGTTCATAATTTTAAAAAACAGAGTTTTGTCCACGACCAGACTTCAGATCTAGCCTCAGAAGGCAGAGAAGGGATGAGCCATCTTAGAAGCTAATCAATGAGCCAGTGAACCAGTAAGCATTTACTAAGTACTTACTATGTCCAAGGAAGTGTGCTAAGTGCTGGGGACACAAAAAACAAAAACAGTCCCTGCCCTCAAGAAATTGTATTCTACTGGGGGAGATAACAGGTATATAACTAAATACCTGAAAGCTATAGACAGAGCAGATGGAAGGTGACTTGAGAGGGGAGGCAGTAGCCGCTGGGAGAATGTGAGAAAAGCCTCCTGGAGAAGGTGAGATTGGAAGGAAGTCAGGAGGTGACAGGTGAGGAGGGAGAGAATTCCAGATCTAGAGGACAGCTAGTGCAACAGTGTGGAGGTGGCGGATGACATGTGGTGAGTAGGAATGGAAGGGCAAGAAGGTGAGGATGACTGCTGTGGAGTGCGTGGAGGGAAAGAGTGGGTAACAAGGCTGGAGTGGGAGCAAGGCCAGTCTGGCAAGAGCTGTAAGTGCCAAACAGAGGAGGCACCTCCATCCTCAGCCGGCATCTGCTACTCCCACAAAGCCCCTGAGGGCAGCTCCCTGGCCAGCGCTGAGCACTCACCTGGAGCTGGGGGTGGACAAATCCCAGCAACTCCCCGCTGGGAGACTGAGGAAAATCCATGGGCTCTATGATCTTATAAGCCACAATGTCAAAAGCAGGGAATGAGGTCCCTGTGGGGGACGGAGAACGGGAATCACAGAACGTTAAAGCTGGAAAGACCCACCCCCTCATTTTGCAGATGAGAGCCCAAGAGAGGGGACTGCACTTGGCCAGGGTCACACAGCTAGTTACGGGCAGCACCTGGGACTCAAACCCAGGTCCTCTGACCAACAGATTTGTGAGGGAGAGAGGCTGCAGTCTGGCAGCTCCCTCCCCTGCCTCATGGGTCCAAATAAACATGTTTATTTTGCATACATTAGATCGGGCATTCCTTGAAGGTAGGGTTTCTGGTGAAGCTTCTTTGGATGCCCAGGACCCAGTTTAGGCTTCTTCACAAACTTGTTGAATGACAATGAATGAATGAATGGATGGCCATGGGTGGATGGGTGGATGGACAGATGGGTGAACTGAGGATGGCCAAGGATCCCCAAGGCCTGCAGGGGTGGGGAGAGGGAAATGATACTTGGGCTGGGTGGTGGGCTCATGGAGCTTCCTTCTCCCCCCCAGCACTTGGGTCATTTCTCCCTCATGCTTGTGGCAGATTCCTGTCTTGGCAAATACTGAGGGTGACAATGGGGCTTAGGGCTTGGAGGCATCAGGCAGGCCCATCCAGGCTGTTCCGGGACAGTACGGGGGTCAAGCCCATCCTCTGTCACCACCTTCTAGCCTAGAGAGCCTCGGCAGAACAGCCTAGCCTCCAGAGGTTAAGGGGGCATAAAAGGGGGTAAGAATTCCTGCAGGGAGGGCTTGTGGCACTCACCCTGGTTGAAGAGGTCGATGAAATCCAGACCACAAGCCACCAGGGCTCTCATATGAGACAAGACATCAGCTCGAAGGACCCCATGCGGCTGGGGGCCCAGCTCCAGGCCTGGGAAGAGGGAGGCAGTCCTCTCATAAGAAACAGGGACACAAACACACACATACACAACACACACACCCTGACTGCCCGGTGACGAGGGGCTTACCTCCCCTCACCCCACAGAGAGACCTCAGCCCCCTGGGACTAGAGTTCCCCTCAAGCATTCAGACACCTCATCCCCCCAGAGACATCAAGGTCCCCTTCCAATTTACGCATCCCTCGGCTTCTTCACCAGTTCAGCTAAAATACTGCCTCCTCCAAGAAGCAGAAGCCCTCCCTACCCCCATCTTCTCTCTCCTCTGCTAGTCCTTCTGCCCCATCCCACCCCACCCCATGGGGACATGACTTTCTATCTATTTTGTATTTGCTTTTCTAAGACACGCTGTGTCCTGGCAATGGAAGGAAGGCCCTCTAGGGCAGGGGCTGCTTCATTTTTGTCTTTGAATCTCCAGCCCAGAGCCCAGAACGTGGTACCTAAATAAATGTTTGTTGAATTGGACTGAAAGCCTGAAAGGCCTTTTGATGGGATGGTTCCCCAAGATAACAAGACCAGCAGGAGAGATAATAGCCCACATTCAGAAAGGGATTTAAGATGAAGTTTGCCCAGGGATTTCTGAGTTTCCCTCGTGGTCTCCTCCGAGCCTCACAATCTCCCTGAGAGAGAGGTGCTATTATTATTGTCTCATTTTTACAGAGAAGGAAACTGAGGCTCGGAGAGGTCGCATGCCTAATATATGTCTGAGGTGAGACTTCAGCCCGGATCTTCCTTGCTCCAAATCCAAACTTCTATCCACCACGGCAAGCCAAAGGCTTGCTTTACAATTCTACCCGGATGCTCACAAATTGTGTGTCCTTGGGCCAGTCCCCTAACCTATCGGGCCTGTGTTTCTTCCTCTGTAAAATGAGTGGGCTGGATTGAGTGGCCTTTGAGGTCTCTTTCAGCTTCAGAGCTGTGACCCCCCCCCCGCCCTCTCCAGTCCCCCATCTTCCTGCCCCTCCCACAGACCCTAGTCTCCAAGGCCCCCTTTCCACAACAGGATTCAGGTACCTCATCCCTGAGGGCCCATCTCCCTTCATCTCCCCCCTCCCCCAGAGAGCAAAGGCCCCCATGGAATCCACATCCCCCAAAACATATACACTAAGGAGCCCCGATCCCCTCGAACTCCATGGGAGAGCCCAAGGTCTATCCTGTTCCCATCCCTCCTGGGGTCCCCATTTGCCATACCCAGGCCATTCTTGGCAACTGACTGGAGGGAATAGTTTTCCTGTCCAGGGAGGCCGTATAGATAGATTGGACACGGGCCCTGAGTGTGTTTCTGAAAGGCAAAGGAACAAAGGTAAGTCAACATGGCGGCTCTCCGGAGACCTGGGCTCTAGACAGTCGAGGTGCCAAGATAGATGAGTGGCTCCGCATTTCTGAGCCTCTGTTTCCTCATCTGTAAAATGGGGTCATTGCATCTACCTTATCTTTCTTTCAGGGTGTGATGAGCAGTTTGGAAAGGAAGAAGGAGGGATTGAGGGCATTGGGAGAGGCAGAAGGTGCGAATAGGTGAATAAGTGAATGTCCCCTGCCTCTCAAGTCCAAGGCTTTTTCTACCCCACTGAAGGGGAGGTAAAGGGAATAAGGTGAGGGAGGCCGGCCATGTGGTGGAACAGAAAGAACGCTGCATGTGGATCAGAGGACCCGGGGGGATCCCTGGTTTCAAGAGGTATTACTGGTATGCTCTTGCACCACTCTGAGCCTCAGTTTCCTTCACTGCAAAATGAGGGAACTGGATTAGACGATCCCCAAAGTCCCTCGCACCTCTAAACCTACGGTCCTAGAACCTGGCCCAGCTAGGTCCTCATCCTCCTGGGGAACAGCTCGTCTCAGAGACCCAAGGCCTGGCTCCTCTCTGACCGGATCCTAAAGGCCACGGGTCACGCCGTGTGGAAAAGGGTGAGGAAAGGGAGAGGGAAGGTGACCTGGATGTAGTGACACATGTGCATAGTGAAGACATTCTCCTCGGAGTCTAAGATCAGGCAGGCCACCATATTGGAGACTGTGTTGTGAAGGTCAAAGATGAAGTCGAAGGCGTCAGCCGAGCCTTTGGGACCAAAGAGCTGGTTGATCTCCTGGGCCTGTCTCACCTCATACGGGCCATCCTGTGTTTCCTTGGAGCTGTGAGGCAGGAAGGGAGTGAGGTCACTGTGTGGAAGGCAGCCAACCACATTCACAGGTTGAACCACATAACAGCAGCCTCAAAGTCAATAATACCGATTTCCTTTTCACCTAACAAAACACAGTCTCCCACAAGATCCTGACTTACTGTTTTAAGTGACAATTTGTTTTATGCAAATATGCTGTGATTAGTGGTTTACGGCTCACCTCTCCACAGAGATCTCACAGGCTTTTAACCATTACCTGGAAAAGCAAGCATGGGAGCTGAGATTTTACATTTCCCTGGCAGCCATAGACTGAGCTGCTTGAGGGTCCAAGTTCAAGATCTTTTACTTTTGATTTGATTTAGTAAAATGCGTGTGTGAATGAGTCTTCCTTTTGGGTCGTGTGAAATGGGAAAGAAAACGAGTCTCTCGATGGGATGGGGGCTGAGCCAAGCTGACAAGTTATGGCTTGTTGTTGGGAATTCTCCTGCCCTCAGATTACAGTAGAAGCCTGGCTGAAGCCCAGGAGCTGGGGCAGCCACAGGGTGGACGGATCGCCGCCTGATGGCCTGTCACTGGTCCTCCTTCTTTCAGGGTCAAGGGAAGGCCTGGCACAGCCAGGGGCACCACTCACGTGAGGAAGGTCCTTGTGAAGCTTCTGTTCAGGTCCTGGCTGAGGTAGCGGATGCAGCGCTTCGTGGCTTTGGGGTTGGCCAGGAAGGGCGTGGCTGCGAAGGTCCCCCTCTGCAGCTCGGAAGGGTTCTGCAGCCAGTGTTTCACCAGGTAGACACCAGAGAGCTCATTCCCGTGGGTGCCTCCCGTCACAGCCACGCGGTCCAGCTGATGCCCTCTGGAGGGTGTTGAGGACATCCTGGAGTCTGTACCTGGAATAGAAAATGGGGGACTGCTCCTTGGACCCTCGTCCCCAGAGACTGAGTGACCTTAGGTGGTTGCTACGGCAAAAGAGGGGCCTTGTGGGGCCCTTGCCTCTCTTAGGGGCCCCAGGCACTTCCTAGCTTGGCTTGCCTTGCTTTCCAGAAGCTCAGAGCTGACAAAGCCATACAAAGACAGGCATCCCAGCAGACAGGCCAAGAGACACAAGCCCCCTAGAGCAGGGTTAGGGCCAGTGGAGGCAGAGGATTCAATGGAGGCATACTGGGTTTGGAGTCAGAAGTTCTGGGTTCTAATCCCATCTCTGACACTTACTCTCTAGGTGACCTTGAGCAGTCATTTAACATGTCTGATTCATAAATGGAGAGTTGTAGTAGGTGACTTCCTTCTTTTTTTTTTAAATTATTCAATTGGGGTTAAGTAACTTGCCCAGGGTCACACAGCTACTAAGTGTCTGAGGTTGGATTTGAACTCAGGTCTTCCTGATTCCAGGGCCAGTGCACCATCTACTGTGCCACCTAGAGGTCCCAAGTACATGACTTCTAAGCAGGAGTAGATAGGAGTAGGAAAAAGAGTTGGAGGGGTAGCTAGGTGGTACAGTGGATAGAGCTCCAGCCTTGGAGTCAGGAGGACCTGGGTTCAAATCCAGCCTTAGACCTTGACACTTACTAGCTGTGTGACCTTGGGCAAGTCATTTTACCCCAATTGTCTCACCTGAGGTCACTTTTGTTTTTTTTTTTTTTATATATCTTTTTTTTTTTTTTTGTTAATGGGGCAATGGGGTTAAGTGACTTGCCCAGGGTCACACAGTTAGTGAGTGTTACGTGTCTGAGGCCAGGTTTGAACTCAGGTCCTCCTGACTCCAAGGCTGGAGCTCTATCCACTGCGCCACCTAGCTGCCCCCTAGCTGCCCCCTGAGGTCACTTTTGGCTCTGAATCTATGACCCTGGACCTCTTGCATGCCTAAATTTGAATTTTGGAGTGAGGGTCTGGGGACAGGGAGATAAAGAGTTCTCTGACAATGATCAGAGATCTAAGTTAGAGTAGGAATTAATACAAAGATATGACCTTATTAATAAGAGCCATTCCCCAATAGATAAATGGTGAAGGGATATAAACAGGAAATTTTCAAAAGAAGAAACAGAAGCTATCAGCAACCATATGAAAACACATGCCAAATCACTAATAATTAGAGAAATGCAAACCAAAACAACTCTGAAGTTCCATCTTATACCCTTGAGATACGTCAAGACATCAAAAGAGAAAAATGATAATTGCTGGAGGGGATGTGGGAGGACGGGCACATTAATATACTCTTAGTACAGAGGCAAATCATTCCAGCCGTTCTGGAAAGCAATTTGGAACTATGGTTCAAAAGTTGTGAGGTTATCCTGATCTTTTGATACCACTACTAGGCTAATGCCCCAAAAAAAAGCAAAGAAAGGAGGAAAGCACCCACGTGTACAAAAACATCTACAGCTGTCCTTTTTGTTGTGGCAAAGAACGGGAAATAAAAGGGGCGTCCATCACTTGGAAAATGGCTGAACAAGTCGTGATACAAGAATGTGGTGGAATACCGTTGAAATTATGTGTGTGATGGATTCAGAGAAATCAGAGAAAACTTGGCTAAACCGACGCACAGGGCAGAGAGCAGGACCCAGAGAATGGTGTGTACAATGACTATAGTAATGCAAACAATTGTAACAGGCGTCTAAAACATACCTGGACTACCTAAGACTGTGTCACGTGGAGGCACCCAACTCACTCAGGCTAGCAAAGAACTCTGAGAGGAGAAGTAACTGGTCTGGCTTTGAGAGAGCAGGGAAGAAAACCACTTTAAAAATCTTTTCTTTTTGAATTTAGTCTTTATTTAATTTTAAAAAATGGAATTCACTGGCTTTTTTTATGTTTTGAATTCCAAATTCTATCCCTCCCTATCTCCTCTCCCTGCTCTGGAAGATGGTAAGCAATCTGATACATGTGCAATCATGCAAACCATTTTCACATGAATCATTTTGTGTAAGAAGATTCAAACTAAAAAAAAAAAAAAGAAAGCAAATGAAGACTGATACGCTTCAGTGTGTATTCAGACACCAACAGTTCTTTCTCTGGAGGGGGATAGCATTTTTCAGTACATTGGGATTGTCTTGGATCATTATATTGTTGAGAACAGCTAAGTCATTCACAGTTGTTCATCATACAATATTACCATTACTGTGTACAGTGTCCTGGCTCTGCTCACTTCACTCCATATTCGTTCATGGAGGGCTTTCCAGGTTTTTCTGAACTCATCCTCCTCATCATTTCTGATAGCACAATAGTATTCCCTCACAACATTATACCACAACTTGTTCAGCCAAACTGAGGCATCCCCTTGATTTCCAATTCTTAACCATCACAAAAAGAGCTGCTATAAATATTTTTGTACAAATAGGTTCTTCTCTCTTTTTTTTTTTTTTTTGTCTCTTTGGGATGCAGACCTAGCAGTGGGATCGCTGGCTCAAAGGTTACGCACAGCTCCTTTAGGTATAGTTTCAAATTATTTTCCAGAATGGTTGGATCAGTTCACAACTCTACCAACAATGCATTAGTGTTCCAATTTTCCCTCATCTTCTCCAACATTTATCATTTTCCTGTGTTGTCATGTTGGCCAATCTGATAGAGACGAGGTGGTCCCTCAGAGTTGTTTTGATTTGCATTTCTCTAATCAACAGTGATTTAGAGCATTTTTTCATGACTATAGATAGCTTTGGTTTCTTCATCTGAAAACTTCCTGTTCATATCCTTTGATCGCTTATCAATTGGGGAATGACTTGTATTTTTATAAATTAGACTCAGTTTGAGAAATGAGGCCTTTATCAGAGATACTTGCAAAAAATTTCCCCCAGTTTTCTGCTTTCCTTTCAATTTGGTTGCATTGGTTTTGTTTGTGCAGGGGCAGGGAGATGGGGCACAGAAGGAGGGGGAGGGGGTCTGAGAAAGAGAAGGATAGAAGGACCTGTGGATAGAAAGACAAGGATCAGGGTATGAAGAATGGCAGAATGGATAGACAGGAGCAGGAAGAAGAGGGCGAAAGAAGGGAGAGGGGGATGGAAAGCCAAGATAGAAGATTAGCAAGTGGGGGAGTTATGGAGGGGGCACGGAAGGATGGGGAATGGAAGGAAGAGGAGACAGGAACAGGGATTGAGGGAAGAGGGGGCAGGGGGATGGGAGATGAAAGCCCAGAAAGGGTCTGGCTCTGCACTGACCTGGCCTCGGTCTGTCCACCACTGCCTGCTCCCTGCCCGGTGAGGTTCCTTCTCTATGGCAGCCTCATTGTCGAAGCTCCAGGGTTGAGAAGGGGGCTTAGAGGCTACCCGGGTCTCCAGCAGCTGCCCAGAGTTCACTGGACCTTGAAGGGCACAGGAGACTTTGGCCCCAGGACCTGTTCGTCCCTCATTACTCAGTGACTAGGATCTGCCTCCTGCCAAGCTAGGACGTCCTCTACGCTGCCAGGCGCCTGTGCGGGATAGGAGCGGGCACGCCAGCTGAGGGCCCAGTTATAGGGAAGGGATTGTGGCCAGAGCAGAGCTTTCCCATTTCCCTGAAGATGAAACCTCTCTTCTATTTCCCCGCCAGCGCACGGGAGAGGAGAAAACGCATGGGCTGCGGCAGGGGATTGCGGTCTCTACCAGTTTTTATATCGATCAAGCGAACAGAACTACAATGCAGTGGAAGAGGCAGCAGAGAACAGTCCCTGATTGTGGAGAGACGAGCACTTTGCGAGCCCTGGGCCCCCCGCCGAGGCCCTTAACCCTTAACCCAGCGCTCCCTCCGACTAAGACGGAGGTGCAGAGGAGGTGCCAAGACATGCGGGGAGGCGTTTCTTCCCAGAGAGGAGGAGGAGGAGGAGGGGGAGGGGGGAGGAGGAAGAGAAGGGGGAGG